CATGGCATGATCAAGAGATCCCTCGTTGGCGGAGGACAAACCAATGAGACAAAGCAAGCCTCTGATTTTCATAAAAGTCGTCATATAAAATTAAACTTAGAACCCCTTTAATGCCATGGCATAAATTCATTGCTCAACCGCAACTAGAATATGCATCTGAAGTCTGGTCCCGCATAGTCAAACCCGAATTGATCATATGGAACATGTTCTATGAAGATATGTGCTTTGTTTCAAATCTGACTTTGGACGCACACCAAGTGTTGCCTATATATGCTCGGTAATTCATTATCTTTTGTCGTTTTAATGCTCTATACATTTTTTATAAAATGAGTAAAATAATTATTCAATATAAGAGGTCAATGTTATCATGTCGAATATGGCCTAATCACTTCTTGAAGATCGGCTGTGGTATGATAAAGCTGGTGTGGTTACACTATTCAACCAAGAGGCAGAGATAGTGACAAAACGTCATCGAAAAATTGATGAAGTTTAATGAAGAGCAATTACAAATAAATTACAACTTGGTGATCAATTCAAAACCATGTCTTGAGAAAACGGTTTAATGGTGTATCGAGTAATTCAGTAATAGAACATTATGACAACATAAATTAATTGCGCATGAAATCTATATCAATTTAAAGAAAATATTCTTTCAGAGACAAAGATAACAGAGATAATCAGCTCCTATATACTCCATTGAAATATTACAAATGCCTATCAAAAAGTGAAAAATTAGGCATTTTGTAGCAAATAAAACTTAATGGACGTACATTTGATCCTTTAATATTATATACCATTTGAAAGGTAAATCTTTTATCTATTGCTGTATGTTAAAATATTGGTAACTTTCGATGCCTTTCACTTAGAAAAACAATGGCAGAACATCCACTGAGCCAGTTTTTTTTTTATGAATATAGTATTGTTACAAAAATTATTAAGTAGTTCCCTTTAAAAAATGATGTAACATTTATTTGAATGGGAGCTGTAAATATTCTAATTTGCAGTCATAGACAAATGCATAAGCTTTCAGAAAATGTATTATTTCACTGATTTTGATATCTGGTTAATAAGTTCTACTTGCTACAAGTTTTAAAATTTAGCAAGCAGGCGTGATATTTTAACTGGCCTAGGAAGTTGTCTATTTCTGTTATTTATGTCTATGGTCATTTTGTAATAGTTAAGACTGTTACAAAATAATATATAATTCTTTTTTTAGATTTTTTTTCAAAAGCACCAGTCAGTATATTAACCAAAGAATGTAGGACAAAACCCCACACGTCAAAACCCCACAACGTAAAATTTATAGAGTGGACATAACCAAGCACGTTTTATTACTATTTTTTATATACCTTTTGATTGAAAATAAAATATCTTACATTGTTGACAATCAAAATAACTAATAAAACTGATATCAATTTTATTTGACATTAATGTAATCTTGCACACAAAAAAGTCAATGATTAACATATTTTTTCCGGACAGAGAAAATTCAGTAAAAAAATGTCCGCTCTAATGTCAATCATCATTAAAAATATTGACACTTATAAACAAGTGTCTTCATTTAGCCTTTCTAATTCTTATCATTTAATCAAGAGACCGCCAATCTGTATCATAACCTACAAATCGAAGTTTTCCATCAATTGATGGTCTTTTCAGACCAGGAGACCTGAGACCGGAGATCGTCAATTAAAAACAACTTGGTACGGAATATACAGAATATAGCTGGTTTGCTGGTTCCCTGGATTATCTGGGAACCAGAAAATTTCACCATATTGGGCAAAACACGTTGATAGGCCGGTAAACATAAAATTTACTATATTTTGGTGAACTGCTACTTCTAAATGTATGTATGAATATATATCATTTGATGTTTTTTTTTACCGTCCTTATTGTATTTATTCCTCTTGATTTAATCTGTCTAGTAATCTTATTTTCACAGAAATTTAAGGGAAATATTTTTATTAAAACCATAGGAACTTGAAATTGTGAATAAAAACAGTTATGTCCGCATAAACTGGCTGGTGAAAATGACGTATCGGGCTTATGGGATGAAAAGTCATATTTCTAGAAAAGTAATAAAGATATTTCTTTTGTGTGTTTGTTTGTTTTTTGAGAATAATATATGTCATAAACAGAAAGAAAAATATTTGGCAACTGTCACTTTTGTGCAATTTTTTTTCCCTTTTTCAATTTCATGTTTCTATAACACACAATCTTTGAAGTTGTTAAAAAAATAGGTTACATATGCAAAGTCTAAAACAAAATAGGTTAAATAACATCTTTAATTCTTTATGATCTAATTCATTGCGCCAACACCTCTCGGCATACATTTCATTCAGTTTTCAGAGAAAACTTCAAAGTATGATTCAGTGTCAAAAATTGTCAAAATATAATACACCGATAAACACTTTCAGAACTAGCAGACAACAGGCTATTCATATCAGTAGAATTTCGAGTAAAGATAACGGATTGCGTATCTCACTGTATAAATCGTATGTAAAACTGTCTGACATATGGTAGGTTTAACAGTTAATTAAAATACTTTGAAGTCCAAAGATGTGTTGAATTTTATACTGTGACGAAGCTAAGATCCTAAGCTTTCTATTGGTGTAATACATTTTAAAATCGGACATTTAATCACAACAAACTAGCGGTTTAAAAACAGCTTATTTTGTATTGTTTTAGCATAAGCGATATCGATTTTACTCGAAGATAAGGGAAGCAACTCGTATTTTTTTCACTCGATATACCTCGGTTATTTACGTAGATCATATTGAAAGTGTTTATGGGTGTATTGCCAGAAACAGAATATTTAATCCTAATATATAGAAAAAAGGTACTGGTGCAATAATCTAAAGCAAAATGAAGTTCTTGGACACATTTCTTTTAATTATTTTACATTAAAAAATAATTTAAAATGAACTTCAAATATTTTGTTTCCAGTAAAAAGAAAAAAGAGAAATAATTCTAAGAAAATAAAAGATAACCAAAATATTTGTATACACCGATTGACAGTTTCCTAAATAGTTATTTACAATATGATTAAAAATATTTAGTTATAATCAAACATAACTGCTGCAAATTGGGCAATCTCATGAATTAGACCCCTGCACATTTCAGAAGTAAAACTTCAGAATAAAATACACAGAATGAACCTCCTGGTATAGCCCCCCGCTAAAAGTGATCAAGATAAAAAATTTATTAAAAATACATTACTATTACATCTTTATTATCTATAGAAATGATTTATTAATGTTTCAGTCTTAGACTATTTCTCTGCATATTTTCGCACAAATGTTAATAATTAAAATCTGTGATTTTCAGAGGGAAAAAAAACTTTGGATCATCGAACACCAAAAGTTTTCATGATATTCACTGATATCTTCATTTAGAAAAACAAGTTTGCAATAGCATATTCATAATTGTTTTAGGTTATTTATTTTAAAAATGCGGGCAAGCCTGAACAGTGAATTTGATATAGGTTAGTCATATGGTTAGAACTTTTGGCTAGCAATACAGGTAACTGCCTAGAATTTTGGGTTAGGGTTAGAGGAACATCGGTTAATGTTATGATTTTAAAACACATATTTTGCTGAAGAAAGATCTAAATGTGCTCCCCTATCCCTATCAGACTTTACTGCTATTATTGACAGAATTTCAAGTTCCTAAATTTTTTAGGGGAAAAAAAGCCCTGTATAGTAATGTATTTTAAATTTTATAGATTGTGCATGTATGTATTATTGATATTTATACTTTGATATATTGATATAGAATAGTCTACTTATCTAATCATTGATATTTATACTTTGATATATTGATATAGAATAGAATAGTCTACTTATCTAAATACATATCAAGTTGATATGTTGGCATATCAAAATCTGATTTTGACTTGTCTGTTTTATCTGAAGCATTTTTTTACTTGTCCATATAATATTATTAAAGAAAATTTTGAAAATGTTTCACTTGTTTACAAGTACAGGCTTTGAGACATCCTTGGCAAACCTTTAAAACGATCATTAAAGTCCTTTGATTTTCATTTAAGTATTGCAGTGAGGCTAAGCCATGCCACCAAAGAAGAAGGATGATGGAGCTAAGGCAGCCCCTGCCTTTCTGGGGCGTATTGGAACAAATCTGAAAATAGGCATAGTAGGATTGCCAAATGTAGGGTAATGTCATACTTGTATTATAGTTTCGAGACCTTTCTATTGAAAATGTATCAGAGCTAAATCGTATACCCATTATTGCACTATGCCTCAACTGGAGTGCAGGTATTTAATAATAATAATTATGTTATGGTTAGTAACCGTTAGTTCATGGTTAAGTTTTTGCATAAAGTTGATACCTACAAAAATATTGTAGAGAATATACACAGTTATTTGAGAACAGAAGATGTCGGTATCCAAGGCCCATAACTCTGACATGGATTTTGAATGAATTATGGACTTTTTGAACATAGAAAATTTTACATTATCCACTGAGGCTCATGCTTCACATGTACTATCAAGCACTGAGAATAGTCAAGCATGAAGTCCCACCGACATATATGTTTCATGCCAAATACCTCTGTAAAATGCCCTTGACTGATCTTTTGCAAAATAACCTTGATTGTATCCCCGTGACTTATCGCTGTGACTTAAAATCAAACAAAATTACATTGTCAAATCGTTTAATTTTATCTGGTGAAATATCATTTGCTGTGATTTTTTTCGATTTCAGGAAGTCAACATTCTTCAATGTATTGACAAAAAGCTCGGCAACTGCAGAAAACTTTCCTTTCTGCACCATAGATCCTAATGAAAGTAAGTCATCAATGTTTATCATTTAGTAAATACAATGTGTAACAAAATTCATCATTGAGTTCTGAAATGTATTCATCAGGTAGATTTATTAGTAGGATTATAACATTTCTAGCATACAGACATACAATATATTTGTATGATCAAGACCCCATGTACATGATTTTACCTGATGGTACATTGACTGCCATATTATACTTAAATGGCAATGCTTACATGCTTATTGCAAAGAGGTCCCCTCATTTTCAAGTGATATGTTAATTGACAAGAAATAAAATATTGATTGAAAAATGATATATATTGATTGACAATAAGTAATATGTTAATTGTCAAGTGAATGTTGATTTTTAGCTCACCTGTCACAAACAAAGTGACAGGGTGAGCTTTTGTGATCGCTTTTCGTCCGTCGTCCGTCCATCCGTAAACTTTTAATACTTTAAATGACATCTCCTCATAAACCAATAAGCCAATTTCATCCAAACTTCACAGGAATGTTCCTTTGGTGGTCACCTTTAAAAATTGTTCAAAGAATTTAATTCCATGCAGAACTCTGGTTGCCATGGCAACCGAAAGAAAAAACTTTAAATATCTTCTTTTAAAAAACCCAAAGAGCTAGAGCTTAGATATTTAGCATAAAACATCTTCTAGTGAGTGTCTACTAAGTTTGTTCAAATAAAAGCCTTGGGGGTCAAAATGTGGCCCCCCCCCAGGGGGTCATTGATTTTCCCTATATGCATATTGTAAAAACTTAAAAATCTTCTTTTAAAGAACACATAGAGCTAGAGCTAAGATATTTAGCATGAAACATGTTCTAATAAGTGTCTACCAAGTTTGTTCAAATAAAAGGCCTAGGGTCAAAATTGGCCCTGCACCAGGGGGGTCATTGATTTTCCCAATATGCATATAGTAAAAACTTAAAAAAATCTTCTTTTAAAGAACATGTAGAGCTAGAGCTAAGATATTTAGCATGAAACATGTTCTAGTGGGTGTCTACAAAGTTTGTTCAAATAAAAGACCTGGGGTCAAAATTGCCCCCCCCCCCCCCCACCCCACGGGGGTCATTGATTTTCCTTATATGTGTATAGCAAATACTTACAAAATCTTCTATGAATAAACCCAAATAGCTAGAGTTTAGATATTTAGCATGAAACATCTTCTAGTGAGTGTCTACGAAGTTTGTTCAAATAAAAGCCCTGGGGTCAAAATTGGCCCCGCCCAGGAATTGATTTTCCATATATGTTACTATAATGGCAAAAACTTAAAAATCTTCTTTGAAAGAGCCAAATAGCTAGAGTTTAGATATTAAGCATGAAACATCTTCTAGTAAGTGTCTACAAAGTTTGTTCAAATAAAAGCCCTGGGGTCAAAACTGGCCCCGCCCCAGAGGTGTTATTGTTTTTAACTATATGTATATAGTAAAAACTTAAAAATCTTCTTTTAAAAAACCCAATGAGCTAGAGGTTAGATTGTTAAGCAGGAATCATCTTTTTGTGGGTGTCTACCAAGTTTGTTCAAGTAAAAGCCTTTGGGTTAAAATTGGCCCTGCCAAAGGGGGGGGTCATTGTTTTTAGCTCACCTTGCACAAAGTGCAGGTGAGCTTTTAGGATGGCCAACCAAATGGCGTCCGTCGTCAGTCATCCGTCCACATTTTAAATATTCTAAGGACATCTTCTATGATACCGCAAGGCCAATGTTAATGAAACTTGGCAGGAATACTCTTTGTATGAAGCTCTATCAAGATTGTTCAAAGAATTCCATTTCATGCAGAACTCTGGTTGCCTTGGCAACCGAAAGAAAAATCTTTAAATATCTTCTTTTAAAGAACCGTAAGAGCTAGAGCTTAGATATTTGGCATGAAACATCTTCTAATGAGTGTCTACCAAGTTTGTTCAAATAAAAGCCCTAGGGTCAAAATTGGCCCGGCCCCAGGGGGTCATTGATTTTCCCTATATGCATATAGTAAAAACTTAAAAAATCTTCTTTTAAAGAACCCAAAGAGCTAGAGCTAAGATATTTGGCATGAAACATCTTCTAGTGAGTGCCTACCAAGTTTGTTCAAATAAAAGCCCTGGGGTGAACATTGGCCCCGGCCCGAGGGGTCATTGATTTTCCCTATATGCATATAGTAAAAACTTAAAAAATCTTCTTTTAAAGAACTGTAAAAGCTAGAGCTTAGATATTTGGCATGAAACATCTTCTAGTGAGTGTCTACCAAGTTTGTTCAAATAAAAGCCCTGGGGTCAAAATTGGCCCCGCCCCAGGGGGTCATTGATTTTCCCTATATGCATATAGTAAAAACTTAAAAATCTTCTTTTAAAGAACCCAAAGAGCTAGAGCTAAGATATTTAGCATGAAACATCTTCTAGTGAGTGTCTACCAAGTTTGTTTAAATAAAAGCCCTGAGGTCAAAATTGGCCCTGCCCCAGGGGGTCATAGATTTTCCCTATATGCATATAGTAAAAACTTAAAAAATCTTCTTTTAAAGAACCCAAAGAGCTAGAGCTAAGATATTTGACATTAAATATCTTCTAGTGAGTGTTTACCAAGTTTGTTCAAATAAAAGCCCTGGGGTCAAAATTGGCCCAGGCCCGGGGGGTCATTGATTTTCCCTATATGCATATAGTAAAAACTTAAAAAATCTTCTTTTAAAGAACCGTTAGAGCTAGAGCTGAGATATTTGACATGAAACATCTTCTAGTGAATGTCTACCAAGTTTGTTCAAATAAAAGCCCTGGGGTCAAAATTGGCCCCGTCCCAGGGGGTCATAGATTTTCCCTATATGCATATAGTAAAAACTTAAAAAATCTTCTTTTAAAGAACCCAAAGAGCTAGAGCTAAGATATTTAGCATGAAACATCTTCTAATGAGTGTCTACCAAGTTTGTTCAAATAAAAGCCCTGGGGTCAAAATTGGCCCCGCCCCAGGGGGTCATTGATTTTCCCTATATGCATATAGTAAAAACTTAAAAAAACTTCTTTTAAAGAACTCAAAGAGCTAGAGCTAAGATATTTAGCATGAAACATGTTCTAATGGGTGTCTACCAAGTATGTTCAAATAAAAGCCCTGGGGTCAAAACTGGCCCGCCCCGGGGGTCATTGATTTTCCTTATATGTGTATAGCAAAAACTTAAAAATCTTCTTTGAAAAAACCCAAATAGCTTGAGTTTAGATATTATACATGAAACATTTTTAAGTAAATATCTACAAAGTTTGTTCAAATAAAAGCCCGGGGCTCAAAACTGGCCCTGCCCCAGGGGTGTCATTGTTTTTAACTATATGTGTATAGTAAAAACTTAAAAAATCTTCTTTTAAAAAAATCCAATGAGCTAGAACTTAGATGTTTAGCATGAAACATCTTCTTATGGGTGTCTACCAAGTCTGTTCAAATAAAAGCCCTTGGGTAAAAATTGGCGCGGGGTGGGGGGCTATATACAGGTGAGCGACCTCAGGGCCATCATGGCCCTCTTGTTTCATTATATGTGTGTAGTAAAAACTTAACATCATGAAACATTTTCTAATGGGTGTCTTCCAAGTTTGTTCAAATAAAAGCCCTGGGGGTTTAAACTGGCCCCGCTCCGGGGGCCTATATACAGGTGAGCGACCTCAGGGCCATCATGGCCCTCTTGTTAATACATTGATGATTAAACGATATGTTTATTGTCAGTTCAGCTGAATAGATATATTATAATTGAGCCGTGTCATGACAAAATCAACATAGTGGGTTTGCGACCAGCATGGATCCAGACCAGCCTGGCATCCACGCAGTCTGATAAGGATCCATGCTGTTCATTATCAGTTTCTCCACTTGTAATAGAGTTGTTAAGCCAACAGCATGGATCCTGATCAGACTGCTTGTAACATGTGACCAGCTCAGAATTTGAATGTTTTCAGGTCGTGTACCGGTACCTGACGCCAGATTTGAATTCCTCTGTGAGCATTGGCAGCCTGCCAGGTAATTGATTGTTGCTTTGTTTGTACATACAGTGTAACTTCCCAATTCCGGAACTTCTGAAATCCAGAAACTTCTAAAAACCCAACAATTTTTTCGGTCCCGATTTTTTCCCTTCTATTTTCTATTAATATACTTCTTCTGAATTCCGGAACTTCTGAATTCCGGAAGATATTTTCGTAAAATTAGAGTCAAATCAATGCAATTTTACCTCCAGAAACCAGAAATATCCAAAGGTGTGAAATACATTGTAAATCGAGAATGTTTAACCTGCAGGAAGATTTAATCTCCCTATCGATTGTTTACTTATTAGCGGTGATCGTGTAATTTGACACGCGTTCAAATCACAAACTGTGAAATGGTATGTTTGAAGTGATGTGGTTAATCAAAGTAATTTACGGCGGTCAGTTAATTTGAAGTGGTTATTAGCGGATTTAATGACAATTAATTGGACAATGTATGCATCAAACGTCTTTAGGGATTTCATTGCATTTGATGTAATAATATATTAATAAGCATTGGACGATATGTAAGTTTATGCAATTAACAACATTTCTTCATGTACAAACTGATAGAAAAGCATTTGAAGGTAAGATAAAAATGTATTCTTTTCATTCACATCTTTATCTTGATAATAAGACTATTATATAAGATTACAGTAATGGCCACATCTTCCTTGACATTTAGTGATATTAAGTGGCTTAGTCTTGTCCACATTATCATAAACCTCTGAATTCCGGAAACCTCTGAAATCCGAACTTTTTGACAAGTCCCATGGGTGTTCGGTTTTCGGAAGTTACACTGTATGTGTGTCTGTATGATTAGCTCAATAGGGAGAGCATTGATTAGTGATCCAGGGATTGCTAGTTCCTTGAGCATTGGGAACTTTGTCTTGTTCCTTGAGCATTGGGAACTTTATACAAGACAATTAATCTTGGTAATTTGTCTATTACTGCTTAAGCACCGCCTCCGTGGTCGAGTGGTTAGAGTCGATGACTTCTAATCCAGTTACCTCTCTGGCGTGGGTTCGATCCCCGGGAGATGCTTTGGTAGTTTAGCGCGGAGGAAGGTAGTCAAGTACTGGTGCAACTCTCCAGGAACGATGGTTAGGGAACTACCCGCCTATATGACTGAAATACTGTTGGAAAAAGGCGTTAAATGACACAAACAAACAAACAAAACTATTACTGCTTAAGGGATTAGTATTAGGTCGAAGAGATTGATAATTACTGGTTAGTTTTCTAGGAAAGTCAAGATATCACCAAAAATCTGTTAATCAGTTAAAATCTGGATATAAACTAATACAACAAACAAGCATTTGTATTTATAAGTCGAATTGGACATAAGAATAAGATGTTTGATATATACAGGACTGGTGTAAACCAAACTGCAAGTACAGCTTCTTTTTCATCAACATAAACAATCCTGGAAGAGTATATAGGTGCATTAAGTGGTGGTTAATGTATTTGACTCCAAACCACTTGCCCCTCACCACTGTTGGGTCAGCTTTGGATTCTTTCATGTGAGGAAACTATCAAGCTAGCTTACAGTACTGTATTTGTTCTTTTACCTGCCTGTTTGTGTGGAGGGGCGACTGAGGTCTGCCTCCATGAATAAAGCTGCAAAATCGCCGTATTACCTATTCTGTGTTTGTACAACTTAGAAAACCCAACCAAGAAATAAGCAAAAGAGACATGGCAGAATGAAAATGATATCAGGTGTGAGTGTAGATGCTCATTATTTTTTTTGCAAAAGATAGTTTAAAAGGAATGGGCTGTCCCAATAAAAGTTGCTGGACTACATACATTACCTAACTGTTTCAGAAATGTAGTTTAAAACATAATAAATTCATCCGATTTCACAAGGAAAAAGAACATAATTCTGTCATTGGTCTTGATGTAATCATGCTCCTTTCTTTACATGCAAATTTTCATAGTCCTGTTTTTATTCAACTATAAAGTTATAAGAATAATCTCTAGAATGGTTCTTGTACTCCATTTGATCCGCGCCACGACAATACCAACATAGTAGGTTTGCGACCAGCATGGATCCAGACCAGCCTGCTCATCCGCACAGTCTGATCAGGATCCATGCTGTTCGCTTACAAACACTATTACAAGTAGAGAAACTGATAGCAAACAGCATGGATCCTGATCAGACTGCGTGGATGCGCAGGCTGGCCTGGATGCATGCTTGTCGCAAACCCACTATGTTGGTTTTGTCATGACCCGGCTCATATGTATCACAATCCCACTTAGAAAAAGTTCTTGCATACAAAGTGGTTTCTCCAGAACTAATGGAGGGAATGGATTGAAACTTCACTAACTTATTCTCATGATGGGCTCAGCTCCCATAACTCTGACGTAACTTATTTACAGAGTTATTCCCCTTTTCTTATTGTCAAGTGCTGGTAAAAGCTCTTTTATGAACAGGTGTTGTTATACTTTATTTTGATTGATTTAATATGTTTTCAGCAAAGTTCCAGCTTTCCTGAATGTAGTGGATATTGCAGGACTTGTGAAAGGTGCCCACGAGGGTAAAGGGTTAGGAAATGCCTTCCTGTCAAACATCTCGGCCTGCGATGCTATATATCACGTTATCAGTAAGTAGCACTGTCATTGAGTGTCGAAATTTTGATACAACATTTGATTCAATATTGATTTACAATACCGCCCCCGTGGTCGAGGGGTTAGAGCCGATGACTTCTAATCCAGTTACCTCTCTGGCGTGTGTTCAATCCCCGGGAGATGCTTTGGTAGTTTAGCACGGAAGAAAGTAGTCTAGTACTTGTTTAACTCTAAAGGGACCAAGGTAAGGAAACTACCTGCCTATTTGACTGAAATACTGTTTGGAAAAGGCGTAAAATGTATCAAACAAACAATTTAGATTATTGGTACAATTTAAAGCCCATTTCTCCCTGTCATGTGAAAATATTGCTCTTTTTTCTTAAGAGACATTCCTTTTCCAGTGTCACCAGGGGTGAGATTACCAGATCCATTTCTAGTGGCAAATATGGTTATTTTTTTCCCAATCTTTAAAAAAAAAGTTCCCAACCGAACTAATATTAATAATATCATAATTGACAAATTTACTTGAGTTCAGTATGGTATCAGGCAGATTTTTCCATACATTTTATTGTCATATTTTAATGTATTTTTTATGTTTTAAATGATACTTGCATTGGACTGAATAAACAATTTTGCACAGTTCAAAATACTATACCAAGAGCATGAAGGAGGTTTCAAAAGATACCAGATATTTTTTCCAATTAAACAATTTTATGATGCAAAAATTCCCAAACATGGCAAGGCACTTTTTCCAAAAATGGCTAGGAAAAGGCCTGAGAGAGGTTACTTCTACTGTTTCACCTTTGTCACCTTTGACCTTTTCAATGTTGTTGAAATATATATAAAAACCCAAGCTTCTTTAACCAGCTTACTTTGTATAGTGGATTTAACCAGTTTCTAATTTTGGTCAGTCCATTTAATGATTGAGGGTTTTCAATATCATTATACAAAAATTGAGCTATCAGCAGTACATGTATACAAATTTAGAGCTTAGTCAGACTGCACAAATGTACAGGCTAGCCTAGCTCTATACTGGTAGCAAACAAAGGTTGATTACTTTTTGTATCAGCAGACAAAACAAGACTTAAAATGTGATAAATTGAAGAAGTTAAGTCTTTTACAAGGCAAGTATTTACTCTAGGTTATTTTAGGATTTCCACTATAGAATTTACATGTTTGATCAATGAATTTAATATGCCAGACTATGATAAAGTGATTTTTATCACACACCCGTGCTGCTTTTGTGACTCCGTAAATATGGTTTGCACAGCCATATATATATTTTGATGTGACATCATTTGCATTATACAAACATATCCTAAAGATGTGTTTAATGTTGGCGTTATTCTATAAGCTCGCCAGTGAAATAATGATTCTTTTTCACTTTAAAAGGTCTTTATTTTGGTAATGTGATACATAGAATATTCAACCTGTTCAATAAATTCAGTATTGAACTTACTCTCATTCAATATCTACTGTTTCAGGAGCCTTCCCGGGAGAAGAAGTTGTTCATGTGGAAGGAGATGTAGACCCATCGAGAGATTTAGATATTATACATGAGGAGCTTCGATTGAAAGACATAGAATACCTCAACAAACATATGGACAATATTGAAAGAGCCGTGTTGAGGGGCGGGGACAAGTCTAAAAAACATGAATATGTAAATATGATATTTAGATTGTTTGTTTTCAAAGAAATTATGATTTTCCCGCTTTGTCATTATCGTTGTCTTTTAAACTTTTATGTAGCCCATTTTCATACTTGATCAAAACAATAATTGGCATCAAACTGTCATGTTGAGCTAAGTTTGACCTTCGCTTTTAAATGACCTTGACCTGTAAGGTCAAATTGTTGAATATTTCTAAAATTGACCATAATTTTGTTAGGCATTTAAATATACCTTTCCAAGAAAGCTTTTGTCTCGGAAATCATTTAACTTTTCACATTGAAACTTTTCACATTGACTGTTAATATCATTCAATTTTTCATTGTAGCAAATATTTTGAAATTTGAAATACCTACTTGTATTTACTAGTGATGGAAATCAGATGAAATTTGTCCCAATTGATCATCGGTTCAATCGGATGGGACATAATCGATAGCTTTCCGATTAAAGTCGCGTTAAAAAGAAATAGAGAAGAAACATTTCTTCCCAAGGCACTTGATTATATTCAGTAACATGAACTTAATTTAGCACTTTTCAACAGTTTTAACCCTATATAGATCTAGTTATAATTTTACGAAAAAGATTTAATTTTCCAATGGATGTCAAATAATTACATTCACATCACATTATATTACTATTGTTTACATCAGGTATTGATCCTGTTCAACTCCAAATTGTCTCTGAGATAATTTTTTTGCGATCAGCGAGGTGTTTCTTAAAGAAAATTACCATCAGAACTATTTCCCTTTGATACTTTAAACATTTTGGACGACGTCGTGGGACAAATTTTTGGGAATCGATTATTGTCGCTTTACATAACAGTAACTGATTATCGGCGACTTGCGACAATCGGAACATCACTAGTATTTACTAAATTGGTATAATTCTGGAACTGAATTAGATAACTTATTAATTACTTTTATTGAAAGATAATTTTGTAATTATGAAAATATCTGCATACATTTACCACATCATGAGCTGTATAGAACAATAGATAATTAAATGTAATAATAATTTATCATGACTTACAACACAACCATAAAATGTTAAACATTACATTTTGTATGATATGTTTTTGGGGCCGTTGGCCTTTATTTATTGAATAAATCAGTTGACTTGACTCAACATATCGGATGTTTTATGTTTAGTATACATTATTGTTGTATCTTAAAACAGAACCTTTTGTTTTGGATTGTAGGAAACATTGAAGAAAGTTAGAGAAGCGTTGGAAAGTAGTAAATGGGTCCGAAATATCACTTTCGATGCCAAAGAGGTACTCATTCAATCTTAAATTTGTATGATTTTATAGAGATTATGCAACTAAATGAAAATAAGCATGACAGTGTATGAAATAAGCATGAGATTGTATGAAAGATTTTATACTGTCTGTATGTCATTGTAAAAATCATGAAAAAGACGTCATTTAAGACAGAGTGTGTTTTTCTAAAACCTGTAAGTTGTAACAGTTTGATATGTTACCCAATTATAAATGTAATTTTAGATTTAATAATTTAACTTAGCATGCTTATTTAACATGATGGTATAAATCTGCAAATATTTCCACAAGGTATCAATATTGTTAAAATTTCTTTCCTTCTTATTTTAGATTGATGTTCTGAATAACCACTTATTTATCACAGCTAAACCAGTGATTTATTTAGTTAATCTATCAGAAAAAGATTATAGTCGTAAGAAAAATAAATGGTAAGTATATGTACTTTAAGCTTATCCCATTGGTTTTATGTACCTTGCTTTGATACAGATATGAATACCTGTATTATCACATCCGTTGCCATGTACCGAGTAGGACAGTTTGATCCATATAAATATCAGTTTTAAACTGGATAACCAAGATAATTATGTTCTTCATTTTGTCTCTATTTATAGACAACTTTCTATGATATATTGTGCAGCAATTAATTGCAAGATAGAAAAAACTTAACAAGCCCACAATTGTTCCACCAGCAACGAACGGATATACGTACAACTGGTTAACTGGTGTGTTTATAATTTAAAGACATTATTCAAAAAATAAAAATTTCACAGGAATGTTCCTTTGGTGGTCACCTTTAAAAATTGTTCAAAGAATTTAATTCCATGCAGAACTCTGGTTGCCATGGCAACCAAAAGAAAAAACTTTAAATATCTTCTTTTAAAAAACCCAAAGAGCTAGAGCTTAGATATTTGGCATGAAACGTCTTCTAGTGAGTGTCTACCAAGTTTGTTCAAATAAAAGCCCTGGGGTCAAAATTGGCCCCGCCCCAGGGGGTCATTGATTTTCCCTATATGAATATTGTAAAAACTCAAAAAAAACTTCTTTTAAAGAACCCAAAGAGCTAGAGCTAAGGTATTTGGCATGAAACATCCTCTACTGAGTGTCTACCAAGTTTGTTCAAATAAAAGCCCTGGGTTCAAAATTGGCCCCGCCCCAGGGGTCATTCATTTTCCTTATATGTGTATAACAAAAACTTAAAAAATCTTCTTTGAAAAAACTCAAATAGCTAGAGTTTAGATATTTAGTACGAAGCATCTTCTAGTGAATGTCTACCAAGTTTGTTCAAATAAAAGCCCTGAGGTCAAAATTGGGGACATTAATTTTCCTTTTATGTGAATAGCAAAAACTTAAAAATCTTCTTTGAAAAAACCCGAATAGCTAGAGTTTACATATTAAGCATGAAACATTTTCTAGAAAGTATCTACAAAAATTGTTCAAATAAAAGCCCTGGGGTCAAAATGGCCCTGCCCTAGGTGTGTCGTTGTTTTTATATGTGTAAAGAAAAAACTTGAAAAATCTTCTTTTATAAAACCCAAGACCTTAGATGTTTAGCATGAAACATCTTCTAATGGGTGTCTATCAAGTTTGTTCCAATAAAAGCCCTGTGGTTTAAACTGGCCCCGCTCCAGGGGCCTATATACAGGTGAGCGACTTCAGGGCAATCATGGCCCTCTTGTTTCCAAAAACGACCAAACTAAAATGTGTGGGATAGTAGCTTTAAGAGTGTATGCTGTGTAATTTTCAGGTTACCTAAAATAAAGGAATGGATTGACACAAATGATGCTGGGGCTACAGTTATATTGTTCAGTGGAGAGTTTGAGTCAAACTTGCTAGATTTTACATCTGATGAAGAACGTGAAAAATATTTAAAAGAGCATAATGCTCAAAGGTAATAATTATTTTTTCACAGTATATTACAGCATATGCCAAACAACATGCTTTCATATTACAATACATTAAGATAATTTATCACAGATATATCTATCACATTATTTGTTACACAATACTAAATTGAAAAATAATAATTTTACATTCATGTTAAATCAAAGATTTAGTTGATTAGAACACAGGATAACCCATGAAAGTTCAATATTGAATATAGAACTTATTTGCAATGGGGTCCTTTGATGGAAACAAAAATATATTCTTGAAAACTGGCATTATAGTCCAAGTTTAAAGATAATATCTTTGGTAGTTTAGCACGGAGGAAGTTAGTCTAGTACTGGTGTAACTCTCCAGGAACGATGGTTAGGAAACTACCCGCCTATATGACTGAAATACTGTTGGGGAAAAGGCGTAAAATGAAACAAACAAACATAAAGATGATATACTGATGTTCAAGTAATATTAATATCTATTACAGATTATGTGAATCTAGATATATTTTTTTTGGTCAAAAGTGGTTATTTTTACAGACAAGCTTTTAACAACACATGCGGTGCTCTTGTTGTTTTTCAGTGCTTTAGAGAAGATAATAGTTAATGGATATAAAGCATTGGGCTTAGTTTACTTCTTCACAAGTGGGAAAGACGAGGTTAGGGCATGGACTATACAGGTAAGTAACATTTTGTTTTCAAGATATGTTTAGAATGCCTCTGACACCATTGGAATCTGGGAGAAAAAAGCGCCATAAAACTGGGAATGTTACAGAGAGTAACTTATAAGAATTACTGAACACATTAAACTGTTGAACACATGATGAATGATTGACTACTTTGTATATTCATGTTTTCATGTGAAAGTAATTTCAAGGGAAAAAGTTTTGAAGAAAAATACACTTTTACGCCCATAATGGATTTTAAAACAAAACATTGCAGAAATCTTCAAATGTGTTAGACAAGCTGAGGATTAACCTGCTCAAGTGTTAGTGTTAGTGCTCTAGCAATTGTATGGCCAAAGTCATGATAAAAATTTTTCTTAAAAATGCATTAATGGTCATTTGAAGGTCAGTATTGTACATCAAAAGTCTAGATAAGATTATGAATTGATCGTTTTGTCCAATTGTCACCAAATTGTCGTTCATGGAATGATTTAGAAATGATTTTGCATAAATGTTTGCCACAATGGGCTGATGTGTTGTATGCTTAAACAAGGTCTAAGGTTACTTTTAACTTGATATAGCTGTCTTATACCTTCTATAATTGGCGCTTTATTTTTTCTTATAATGATATTTCAAGCCTCTATTGTATTGCCATATTGTTCATATTAAAATGTTACCTCTGCGAAAGATGCAGTGGCCAGACTGTACATTCTATCGGAAAGTTCTATTTTTCCTAGAAATGATATTTCAATTTGATTTGCTGATGATTTTTTCTTAGTACAGTTTAATAAAGTAAGTGTTCTGGACACTGTATATATTTATATGCTGAACCATAATCTTCAGTTTTAAAAACCCTGGCTGAACTTTTATCCTGACAGTATAATGAATGATATATGATATATATGTTTGTGGTATAAATTCGGGGAAATTTAGAAGATATAAGACATTATAGGAAGTATTTTATTTTTAGCGTGGAGCTAAAGCCCCTCAAGCAGCTGGGAGAATTCATACTGACATGGAGAAAGGTTTTATTATGGCAGAATGTATGGCCTTTAATGACTTCAAAGAAGCGGGCTCAGATGCTGCATGCAAGGTTTGTGGTTTTCTGTGAAATTTTATGTTGTGTTATGGGCATCAAGTGTGGAAGCTATCAAACTAGCTTACAGGTTTACTACTTGCGCCTCTTTGCTGTGGGATTAAATCTTCACAAGAGGCTTTTGATTCTTTTATGTGGCGTTATGAACATCAAGTATGGAAGCCATCAAACTAGCTTACAGGTTTACTGCTTGCCCCTCACTGCTGTGGGTTTGAATCCTGCAAGGGACTTCTAATTCTTTCATGTGAGAAAGTTATCTAGCTAATTTACAGAAGGTTGATGTCTCTACTCAGTTGCTCACTTGTATCTAAAATAATAAGGGGTGGGAAACCTAAGAACCCTCCCACTTTTAAAGCTGCCTGAAATTCATTATATGACCTTAAATGTCTTAGGGTGACTGGCCAAAGTAACAAAAAAAACCATAACAACCCTGATACATTTGTTGTTCTTAAACCTTTCAGATCAAAACCATGTTGCCTGATATAAAGGTTAAAAAATGTATTTAGAAGAAAGTCATGGTGTCAATTAATATGTTTTTTATAATCAATATGGAAAACCATATAGAAAAACTATTACATTAAATTTACTTGAGTTGACCTTTTCTGCTAATTTGTTATTTAGATATTTAAGAAGTATATATAACCCTTGCTGGTGTCTTTTCTGCCAATTTCTGAATTTAGACTAAGGTCTGTAATGCGGAAAAGAAAGCAGGATTGAGATCTGATTACATGTTAGATCTTTTCCATTTTAGTTAATATTGTCTGTGATTAAAGATATAATGAACTTATCTAGCTTCTGGTGATTTTTTTTTCACTTTATTGGGGACAGGCCTTGACTTTTTCATTTTGGAAAAAATATTGCTTAATTGCTAATTTGGGAAGTAAAAAAGCAGGTTTAAATTCAGATTTTTTGGGAAAACTGCATGATTTTATAGAAAATTTCAATCGGGTAGAGGCCTTTTATCAGTGTCTGTAAAATAAGCAGGAGAATCACTGGCTTTGCTTGATCTGCCCATTATCTGTTTTTGTGGTTGTAAAACATTTTCATAATTTAAGCTGAAACATTTTATATAATTCAGGCTGCCGGTAAATACAAGCAGAAGGGACGAGAGTATGTTGTGGAAGACGGCGACATTTTGTTCATAAAGTTCAATGCGGGCGCGGGACTGACGGCTAAAAAGAAATAATGAAGCACAGATCACATAGGACATTTAAAACTTAACCATTCTACATTGTAGTTAAAGCAGCATGCCTCCAAATTCTTGCTAATTTTCATGAAAATTTTGAAAATGTAATAAAAAATAGAATACTGTGAAGTGAACAAAGAAAATAGTATACACATTGTAAATGGCACTTACTATCCATGTAAATTGCTGAAATTATTGCGTCACTAATCCAGTAGAAATATGGTGAAAAATACTGCAAAATTGGCCATTTATCACAAATAACATGGAAATTATTACTTATATATTCAACTTTTATTCCTTTTCATAAATTCTTAATACTTTTTTCTCAAGTTTCATTTTCTTGAAATATTTTGCCTCATCTGGAGGCATGCAGTTTTAAATGGTTCCATTATAATTTAATTGAATTACAGATATGGATGAAATAAATGAATTGTGGTAGTGTGACATCACTGTTAGTGTCACACACACCTGTTCGTCAACCCTTATCTGGCTAAACTTACGTATAAGTCTTACCCACGGCTTTGTATTTTGAATGGTCCATTGTTTTTGTACATAGAATACTGCTACAAAATATGAAACTTTAGGGAACCAGACTAATATTACTGAATGTTTATGTATGAAATAGACCTGCTTTTTATTTTGAACTGATTTAAGTTATGGGGATTTCAAAAGTTGCAGAGATATTATTAAATTTTATTTTTAAAATCATGATGAAAAATACAGCAATGTGCTGTCACATTTTGCTGGTATATTTCTTGTATTCCATTTCCCAACAACCTTTTATTACCAGTGGATTGATCACAGGTGCTTGAAACAAACTTTTTCAAGTTTTATACGGGCTATATACTATAATAATATATCTTTATATACATATATAGACCGGTTATGTAAAATATTTGATTATGTGACTAGCGCCAGTGGGATTGATCAAAAATAGTTGTTGTTATAAAATATTCATAATGATTATGGTGAAAAAAGATAAATTCATGCATACTAGAGTGGAGCAAATGGTAATAAGTTATATTTAATAATAATTTCACCAGATACTGGAGAAGAAATGTGTAACTGAAAATCAGACTTTTTACTTAAACTATTATTTGATAATATTTCTTAATATAATAGAAAAATTCATTAATGATAAAATTGTATGTCTCAAGGCAGGAAAAGCATTCAAAGGTTCCATTCTGATGTGACCTTCAATGTGACCTTCTGATATTTAATGTGACCTTCAATGTGACCTTCTGATATTTAATGTGAGGTCAGCATCTCTGTTGCAAAGATGAAGAATTATCACATTTATTACAATATATAATATATATAAGGCTATAACAAAACCATGACCAACTTTATATATTATGCATTTAATCTTATTTATAAAATTAATGTTAAAGTGGTATTATGCTGATTTTTTTCCGTTGCTATGTTGAACTCAATCTTTTTTTTATTTGATTCCTTAACAGTTTTGCAGACTTTTGCTACCAGAATAAGATTAGCAGTGGCTGGTCACGTTGAACGAATGTCGCTTAACACATAAAAGATACAAAGAGAAAATGATGGGGGAGGGGGGAATTACAGTGCTCGCTAAAGACAAAAGTTGCAAAAAACACATGGTGGCATGATGATCATTGACCAATAATTGATAATGGAAAATGTTTAGGATTAAATATAAACACTGCCTAAAATATAAAAAAGAATGTCCCACTCTTTCTATCAGTTGAATTCATTCCAAATGATATCTAAAGAGTTTTCTGTGAGTGATGTGGGTTATAAAATTTATCATACATAAGAACTAGATTATAGAATTGAAAACTATTATGGCAAAATCTCAAGTTATTTTGACTTTGACCTGTACATCGACCATTTACACTTGGATGGGCATAATGTCACTTTAAAGGAAGACACTTTACTTGTTAATGTGCAGAGTATGAAGGAATACAGTTATAAACACCTCACCACTGTGTGTTGGAATCATAATGCCAGGGACCTTGAATTTCTTTAATGTGAGAATGCTTACAAGCTTACTTACTAAAGGTTGGTGAATATACCACTATATATACCACTGAATATATCCACTAGTGCTTGAAATAATGCATGTAGGGGCACTTGAGGTCTACCTCTACCAGTAAAGCTTGAAAGTCACCTTACTACCTACTAGTATACTGTGTCAGTATGACATAAAATCCAATAAAAACAAAGGTAAAGAAAAAAATACACTGACATGCAGTTTCCTTGCTTGCTTATAGTAAATTATATAATAATTTATGATAATGTTAGATAACACTAGAAAGGGTTATGTTAAGTTCCTGAATTTTAGATTGTTAATGAGGTGATGAAAATATAATTATGTGACCAAGTTTTATTTGTTACATATTGGCATCGAAGTTTCTTTTATAGCTTGATAAATTAAAAGAAGGATAAATGTATTTGCTAAATAAAGTATTTTAAACTTTGTTTGACTTGATGCTTTTGCACTGATTAGAAAATGACCATTTATGACCCCTATACCTTTTTAGCTCACCTATCACAAAGTGACAGGGTGAGCTTTTGTGATCGCTTTTCGTCCGTCCGTAAACTTTTACTTTAAATGACATCTCCTCATAAACCACTAAGCCAATTTCATTCAAACTTCACAGGAATGTTCCTATAGAGGTCACCTTTAAAAAATGTTCAAGGAATTTAATTCCATGCAGAACTCTGGTTGCCATGTCAACTGATAGAAAAAACTTAAAATATCTTCTTAAAAAAAACAAAAGAGGTAGAGCTTAGATATTTGACATGAAACATCTTCTAATGGGTGTCTACCAAATTTGTTCAAATAAGAGCCCTGGGTCAAAATTGGCCCCTCCCCGGGGGTCATTGATTTTCCTTATGTGCATAGCAAAAACTTAAAAAATCTTCTTTGAAAAAAACCAAATAGCTAGAGTTTAGATACTTAGCATGAAACATCTTCTAGTTAGTGTCTACAAAGTTTGTTTAAATAAAAGCCCTGGGGTCAAAATTGGCCTTGCCCTGGGGGTCATTGATTTTATTCATGTGTATAGCAAAAACTTAAAATATCTTCTTTTAAAGAGCCCAAAAAGCTAGAGCTAAGATATTTAGCATGAAACATCTTCTAATGGGTGTCTACCAAATTTGTTCAAATAAGAGCCCTGGGGTCAAAATTGGCCCTGCCCCCGGGGTCATTGATTTTCATTATATGTGTATAGCAAAAACTTGAAAAATCTTTTTTTGAAAAAAACCAAATAGCTAGAGTTTAGATACTAAGCATGAAACATCTTCTAATGAGTGTCTACCAAGTTTGTTCAAATAAAAGCCCTGGGGTCAAACTTGGCCCCGCTCTGGGGGCCTATATACAGGTGAGCGACTTCAGGCCCATCATGGCCCTCTTGTTAGATTTTGTGATCGCTTTTCGTCCCGCGTCAGTGGTCTGTCCGTCCGTCCGTAACTTTCACTTTAAACTGCTTAGCCAATTTCATCCAAACTTCACAGGAATGTTCCTTTGGTAGTCAACTTTAAAAATTGTTCAAAGAATTTAATTCCAAGCAGAACTCTGGTTGCCATGGCAACCGAAAGAAAAAACTTAAAATATCGTCCTTTAGAAAACTGAAAGAGCTAGAGCTTGAATATTTGGCATGAAACATCATCTAGACAGTGTCTACAAAGTTTTTAAACTAAATGCCATGGGGTCAAAACCGGCCCCGTGGGGGGGGGGGTCATTGACTTTCCTTATTTGTATATAGTAAAAATTTAAAAAAAACTTCTTTTAAAAAACCCATATAGCTAAAGCTTAGATATTAAGCATTAAACAACTTCTAGTAGGTGTCTACCAAGTGTGTGCAAATAAAAGCCCTGGGGTAAAATTTGGCCCCGCCCCAGGGGGTCATTGATTTTCCTATTTTTTATATAGTAAATACTTAAAAAATCTTTTTAAAAACCCAAATAGCTAGAGCTTAGATATAAAGCATGAAACATCTTCAAGTTGGTTTCACCAATTTTATTCAAATAAAAGCCCTGGGGTAAAAATTGGCCCCGCCCCAGGGAGTTATTGATTTTCCTTATTTGTATATAGTAAAAACTTAAAAAAACTTCTTTTAAAAACCCAAATAGCTAGAGCTTACATATAAAGCATGAAACATCTTCTAGTTGGTGTCTACCTTGTTATTTCAAATAAAAGCAATGGGGTAAAAAATTGGCCCCGCCCCAGGGGGTCATTGATTTTCCTTATATAATTAAAAATATTAGTAAAAACTTTAAAAAAATCTTTTAAAAAACCCAAATAGCTAGATATAAAGCATGAAACATCTTCTAGTTGGTGTCTACCAAGTTTGTTCAAATAAAAGCCATGGGTTAAAAAATGGCCAGACTTTTTTTTTTGCTTGTAGCATCATCACCTTGTGATCCTCCACAAAAGTTAAAAAAATCATGTCCTTAGTGTCAAAATTGGCCCACCTCAGGGGTCACAATTTATATAGACTTTTATAGTAAATATATCTTTCAAAGACTTCTCTACAATGAGAGCCTGATAATGTCCAGAGCTTAAATATTTGCCTTGTGATCCTTCACAAAAGTTGTATCAACCATGCATCTGGTGTAAAAATGGCCCTTTCCTTGGGGGTCCATAGTTTACTAGGCTTATGTCGAAAATATTATTAAATCCTCTTTTATGAAACAGCAATGCGTAAAGCTTATTTTGCTTGTAGCATCGCTAAATAAACCCTACAAAGTCATATAAACTATGGCCCTTTTATCTTCCAGACCAAGGGCAAACATACAGTCAAAATTGTTAATTTCAGTTCTATATTTTTTGGTAAAACCCTGAGAAATTTGTTAGTAACTGTTATAATTCTCGTTTTAAGGTCGACTTTAAAAAATGAAATAGATATATTGTATAGTTATGGTCCCGTGGCCGCCTTGATCATAACTTGTTAAATTCTAGATGTACCTTATGGTGGCTGTATTGTGCAATTCGTGGTTTCGTACCGCTACCCCGCCAAGCGAAAGGTGATAATTAACAATTTAAAATGGGAAGGGGGTGCCCTGAGCAAAAGCACGATTATTAGCAGAGGCGCGGGGCAAAGATAGATAAATCTTCGCTCTACGGGGGTATATTCGCCCTTGCCGTTTCTTTTCTTAAATATCGCTCAACGCCCCTGCGTGTCGAAGTTTTATTTATTTATTTTCGCCCTGCACTCCCTTCTAATTAGCGTGTTTTCGCTCCGCACCCCCGCTATTTTATCTTATTAATTCTCGATTTTTCGCATTGCGGGTTCGCAGGGTGGAAAGCACGAATGGCACAAATCAGCCACCATAGTATTCTCTTGCTACTTGGCCACAACAACCCTTTGGACATGACCTTCAAGTAGATCAGACTAAACATTTTTTGAACATTTAACGGGAAATTTGTATTGAAATAGCTTTCAAAACTTGGTCGATACCAAAGAACGGGCGACCGTTGTTGAAACAAACCTGACTAGCGGCGATTTGGCGCGTGGTCATGGAAATGCCTGACTGCTTCCGTAAGGACTATACCTCCGTGACCTATTAGCCCTTGCAATGGCGCCTCAAAGCTTGAAGCATCGTCGTCATTATCAGCAAGCGGGTCAGCGTCATAATCCCTGACGGTATCCCAGCCATGTTTGTCGACAATTTTTAACAGCTTGTTTACGAATCTCCAAGGCCTGTTATGGGTAAACTCTTTGATAGCAGTAAAATTCTTAAAATTGCACAATACCTCTGTTCTATTTTTAAAGTCCATTGATATTAAATTGTCTTTTACAAGAATCTGGTTGAAGTTCAAAAGCACCTACTCTGGTAGTTTATTGGCGCAGAAAGTCCAAAAACTCTATTCTAGCTCGTCTCTCTGTTTATACAATGCCTTTTCTATTTGAGATGAAACCAGGGCCGAAGGCGTTCTGTTTTCCTCGCTTTTAGTATCCCTTCTGGGAAGCGAATCCTCTTCTTTGCACATTGAGTTATATCAATTTTTAATACAAATTTGGTGAACTGTGCATTCTATATGTGTAATAAACCTCGAATGACTTAAAACCCCGCGTTTACTTATGAAAACCTCGTGTCCCGTGCATTATTTCTACCCAAATATAAACCAAACAACAAAAAACAGATATAAAGTAGGATATAACATGTATAAAATACCAAAAAGGAAAAAAAAGTAATAAGTGTACCTGTTCCCTATCATATGGAGCACATAGTATTAAAAAGAAAAAAGGAATGCATGTACCTGTTCCCGACCCTATGGAGCACAAAGTTCCAAAAAAGAAAAATAAGTTTACCTGTTCCCGACGATATGGAGTACAAAGTACAAAAAAGAAAAAAAGTATTAAGTGTACCTGTTCCCGACCACATTGAGCACAAAGTACCGAAAGAAAAAAGTACCGACCATATGGAGCACAAAGTACCGAAAGAAAAAAGTGATAAGTTTACATGTTCACGAACATATGGAGCAAAAGCTATACACTTACACCCAAGCATGAAATGTCCTTTTATTTATCAAAAGGTTATTTCATCACATCATAGGTAACCAAGATATTTCTTACAGCCGTACGTTGGTATTATATCAATAGTGGCATTGCCTTTATCATAAGCTATTCTCGTAGGTAATTTAGTTTAACGTTATAAATATCTGGAATATAAGACCATTGTGACCACTTACACTTCAGATGATTTCTTAAACCTTATAATAGGAATTTTAAATTGAATGCCATCCTATAATTAGTGGTATCATAGTTTTGGGACCTTGCTGTTAAATCGTATACAAATACATGCACAGTGCGTTATCTGGAGTACAGATATAAGTTTCCAGCACTCCAAAGCATGTCCATTGAGTGGCTCATTAATTCTGGGTTTACTTATTGTGACGACAGAGTAAGGGAAAGCGATAGAAAGCATCATATTCAAATGCTCATTTTTCTTTTTTTCTGGGGTTTCATGTTATGACAACAGGGAACGAATTTTTACGTTTGACTATGATACAAAAGAGAAAGAACATCAAAACACTTTGCCATCTGATTAATACTCTGAGGCTACGCACCCTCGTGCAATTCAGATAGCCTCTTGTTTCCATGCTCTTTCTATTACTTGTCTTGATATAATACATTTATATAAGCGCAACGAGGCCTGCTAAATTTCCATCCGGTTCGCGGGACTAACTTGTCTATATAGGTCAGTCCATAAACAAAATCATTATAAAATCGAATTGACCTCCCTTTTCAAACAATGAAATTCTTGGCCAATAAAAACAAAGGAGGTAATCACTTGTAAAGCAATTAAAATTATTGCTATTAAGCAGGTGTTCGGAAAAAATAAGTAAAATTTTATATTCTCCCCACACGCACACGCACACGCACACGCACACACCAACACACACACACACACACACACACACACACACACACACACACACACACACACACACACACAAACAAACCTGTCTTATACTTTTTGAACTCCAATATATGCGAAAATTATGAATATAAATACCATACAATGTGTATTTAATTAGATTATAAATTATGGCCACATTGAATAGGGGAAATACGTTCTTGACATTGCTTTAAAGAGGTATTTTTTTAAAATGAAATTGATTCTAAATTATTGACCTGATAGACAGTACCTTCCAAAAACATCCCGGCCAAGTAAATTTAGCTAGGCCCAATTTACTGTTCGTTTTAAAACTTCAGATTTTAATTTTGTACAGGAGTTATCCCATCTTATTCCTGTCCCGATAAAAGTACCTAGAGACTGTCTTCTTACGGGAATTATGGCACGCATGTACAAATAAAACTGTAGAAAGAATTATATTTAGTTCCCTTATGAATAAAGTTAGTTTGAATGAAGTATATGCTCGACCATATAGAGCATGTTACTGCTCGTAATAAGGCGCATTAACGCGCTAATGTATGGACATAAAATAAGAAAATGGTGATTTAAAAAAGTTTGCTATGTATTTTTCTGCTATATGTTTCATACATATGTTAATAAATTGGTACTGTAAATATTTATTATTTATTTATGTATCCTGAAGTAGGCTGTTCAGGATTCAGAAAACCAAGTTAGAAATGCGCTGGAAACTTGTAATTTCGTTTATTTCTCATCTTATTGGAGGTATGCGTTGCGTAGCAATTCTCAACAATGGTGTCCTGTCAATTTAATTAATTTCTTTAATCCTGATTATTAACAATAATACTTATATTTACTTATAAAAATCGCTACCATTTAAATTAAACTTGTTTTTGTATTTTTTATGTAATCTTTCGAAACTCTGCCGTCCGTGTCATCGCTAAAATTTGCGGCGACGTTAACGTGACGTGAGAGTTTTTCGCAACTAAAGGTGAACATTATTAACTACTTAGATTTAAAGAATGTAAATGTTTCCTTCACATTTGTATATAAAAGGACCGCCTCCGTGGTCGTCGATAACTTGTAATCCAGTTACCTCTCTGGCGTGGGTTCGATCCCCGGGAGATGCTTTTGTAGTTTAGCGCGGAGGAAGGTTGTCAAGTACTAGTGTAACTCTCCAGGAACGATGGTTAGGAAACTACCCGCCTATATGACTGAAATACTGGTGGGAAAAGGCGTAAAACGTAAAATGAAACAAACAAACAAACATAAAAGGGAATTTTGAAAAAAATGCAGTTGACTACTTATTTTTTTAATATTTATACTGTAAATATCAACAAAACATCAATGGTTGCAACTAATTAATCACGAACGTACGGCCGGATTTGAAAACTTTTTCTGAGAATTCAAATTGCTGCACACACCAAATGGAACAAAATATTGTTTTTAGTTGGAAATGTATAGGATTTTAGCTAATCTGAGCATAACGTGAATCTGAGCATAACGTGCTCACACTGAACTATTGTGAGCGAACTGTATTCGTGCATCGTCAACTTTGTTTAAAACCATGGGTCAGTGTTGATAAAACTATAAGTAGGACTGTTTCTGGAACATGAAGTCTTTTCGAAACGTTCACAAATTATATTTCATGTAGAAATAGCGACCGAAAGTAAAAAAACAAAAAACTTAAAAATCTTCGAGACCACAAAGATTGCGCTAAGATATATGGCATGAAACATTGTCAAGTGGACATCTTTCAAGTTTGTTCAAATTATAGCTCTAGGGTCAAACGTTGCTCTTTGGGAGTCATGGGTTTTACTTACATGTATGTATTAAAAGCTTAAATAAACCTTTTCCAAAAAGAATTTCAAGGGCTAGAGCTTAGACATTTGGTATGTTGCATTTTGTATGTGGTGTCCAAATTATGTGTCGTGTACAGTGTTTCTCAGATAAGTGACGCTTTTGCTTTAATCACGGATTGTTTAATTCCACCAAAACACTGAGGGCTCGTATTGCTTGGCAGTATTGACCTGAGACATTTGAATATTCAATGACCTTTTGTCGGTAATTGTCGAATTCCGAAGTAAATCATACAGATTTTAATTAAGTATGACATATATAACGGTATAAATGGTTTAGTTACCGACACAGCACTTGCCTATAACTAGTCTCAGTGATAAATATTGAAGACTTTTAGTTTTGAATTGAAGACTGTATGTTCGAATCATCTTAAAGAAACATTTTTCATTATGTATTTTTTCAAATTATATTTTGCAAACTTGACTACTAAGTTTGTATACGTTCGGCGCCCCTGGCGGGCGGGTTGGCGGGTGATGGGCGTTCACTTTTGTCCGTAGAATATCTCCTACACCTATTGATGGATTTTAATGAAACTTCATAGAAATGTTAACCAGTATGGGAAGAAGTGTCGCACAAATAAGCTTTTGTGTCGGGAGTATTTTCGTGACAATGTCATCCTAATCACCCATTGTACGCCTTGAAAATGAGCAAATTTACATATAACGTCTATATTATGTTGTTTTTTTTTAAAAATTCTATAGATACATATTTTCATTGAGTGGTATGAAAATGACTATTTCATGTTATTTCATGTATGAGTCGCGGTAGCCACGAGTGAAATATGATAATTTTATACCACAAGATGAAAACAAATTCTGTATTTGTAGAAAAAACTTGGAATTATCTTTTTTATTATATACATTTCTCTTTTTTTGACATGAAAATATAAAAGACTTTCCCTTAAATTTTGTAAATTGACTGAATATAGCAGAAAGTAATCCGGCAAGATACCAGTGAAAAACTGAAAATACAGAAAAAAATGTTTTACTGTAGTGAAAAATATTTTGTTTTACAGTGAAAATACGGAAAATGAAAATACGCCTTTTACTTCATCAATATTTCTCTTTTTTTTATAAGTGTATAACAAATAATAAACTTGATCGGTATTATTTTACTGGTGATCTTAAATGTGCCTGAAAATAAGTCATGCGACATTTAACGGAGCGGTTGCGACATTTAACGGAACGGTTGCGACATTCTGCGAAAGAGAAAAATCAAACCTGGAAATGAAACCTGTAACATAAAGTACTTAGCTCTAAAACAGTAATGGGAAAGCAAGAATGCAACGCACAATTAAATGCTTTGGCCTACGAAGTCATAAAAGCTATAATTGAGTAAATAATGTGATGTCGCGGGTACGGTGTACGATTCAACGAGACGATTTTTTTTGTATTGCATGAGTCTATTGGAGTAAAACAATGGTGGAAAAATTTGCTAGGTTAAAGATGTTATAATTTTATGTAATTACAGCTTACAAATATCAATAGAAATGACAAGGATGTTGTATGTTTGTAATATCGACGCAGTTGAGATAGTTTAAAATATTTGTCCGTTTTTGCTAAGACAAATGTCAAAATGATTAGTCCGGTATTCAGAATACAGAGTTTCAAGTTTCTTTGAAAATAGAAGAAAAAAATTGGGATCCTGAAAAAATGTCCGGTTTGCTGACAATTTTTGTTTAGTGCGGGCCTTGGTTTGCGCTTTTTATTGTACGACTTTCACACGGAGTAAATGCGTGGTAAAACGTTATATCAACCAAAGTTTTTGGGTAAAAAGAACCAACATGTTTGGATTACGTTTTCCGGTTGAGAAAAAAGCTTTCCTGGTTTGTACATTTCGTTTGTAACTTCTTTATATTATATCAAACCATTTAAACAATTAAGCATATAAACATTTTAAAGCTAAAATAATAGAATTTATATTACTGTCTAAGTGTCTTTATTAGAAAAAAATGCATGTACAATGTCTTGCCATTTATTAACAAACCAATTTGGCTACAAAATATATAGTTTAATTGATGGGCTGTTTATAGTATTTTTCATGTTTTAATTTTTTTTACATTAACTGACGCCAAATAAAACAACGTGGCCAATAAAGTTCAATATTGTATTAATTCAAATTTTCAGTGTCCAAAAGTAATAAAAATGGTCTCGAATGGTTCAGAAAAGATTGAATTTCGAGAGTTATAAGTCAAATTTGACCACTATGTTGGAAATGTCATGTCACGGCTCGTTTATTTATTTTTTTCTAAGGTACATAAGTCAGTATCTAGTCCACAAAAAAGGACAAAATATGCAAATTTTGCAAATAAAACCTTTTATTGTCTGATAATATAACAATAAATTATCTAGGTAATTGGTTTCTTCGGACAGCATGTCATTAATTATTAAGATGTAAAAACGTTTGACAAATACATTAGCAATATTTAACATAATCTAATTTCATCCAAAGTTCCAATGCGTACCTAAGGTGTTTAGATTTGCTATGGAAGTGTCAAAGAATTAGGGTAAATATTTTACAGAATACAATAATAATGTTTCTATTATTTAAAACAAATTATTGTTTTATATAAATGATAACATGAACACAATTCTAAATGAAATTATTTATGAACCACGTACCTTATAACAAAATTACAAATAAAAACATCAAAGAATCAATAATAATGCAGATAATCTTACCTTGTCATTATAGCAAACACTGTGAGAGATGTTGCGCACTTTCATTGTTTCTCATGAACAGAACTCCATCAGAGTCCGAAATTTTCATAATATATATCGTTTTTATTGCTTCCGGGGGAGGTGGGGGTCACCACTTTTCCAGCTTTTATAGGCAGCTAAAGGGTTATCTTAAACAATTAATTGCGCAATAAAATGTATATAACGCCCTTTACGCCCATTATTTTCTGACATATTTAAAACTGAAAAATACACATTTATATTAATATTGAAGTGTTCTAAGTATATGCTAGTGTTCACCCGTTCTGTTGTACAGAATTAAGGAACTTAGACGGGAGCGATAGCGACCGGAGAATGTTTCTAATTTCTTTAGAACAGCCACGGGTGAATGTTCACATACTAAGAGAGGCAAGGTTTATTTGGCTTCTTCAATATTCAATTTTTAAGGCCACTACAAATGACTACTTTTTACAAACGCTGTTCCATGAAGCACAATGAAAAATAGAAGGCGACCGAATTTGATTTAGTATCGACTTTTGTTCTATGAAAATTAACACAGATTGTTTTAAGGAACCAGCCTTTTCATTCGATGACAAATTAAGCTGGACACTAAGCCGAATTAGAAACTTAAAAGGACTATTGCACAACAAATGCCCGAATGATAGCTTATAGCTTATAATTGTAACTTTGTACACAAGTGTGCTTTAAGAATATTAAAATCTGGAAACAAAGTGATCCCTCGGACGCATTAATCACAACAAAATTGCATAAGAATTGCAGACTCAATAAGATAATAATAATAATAATAATAATAACAAACACCTTATTTCATGAAGGTAACATATTAAGAAATACATATCTTATTTACAATATGACCTTCAATTAACAAGATAATGAAATTCACAAATATGAACACACATATCAAAAACATAAACAACAACCATTCAAATTGACAGACACATGCATGCATCAGATTCATTTAAAGGGAGACATAGGCAAAATTTTCAAATTTTAGATTTTAATTTTCTATCCAATATTCTATTAATGTCATCGAAATGAATAGACTTAGCAGTCTTTGGAACAAAATTTTTCTCCTTATAAAGAAAGAAATGTTGCTTTCCTAACCTGACCTAACGCGACCCACAATGAGATTTCACCATTGTTATCACTGTGAACTAAAAAAACGTAAACGAACCTGTAAAATGAGCGACTTAGGCTTGTTTTAATCTTACAATATCCACAATCTTTAGTGTTTTTTAACTTCTAGGGATTGCAATTGTCAAATGACTTGTTTTAAAACTTCTCTTTAGTTCTGTCTGTGTCGTCATTTTGTTCAACATATGTAGACTTATTTACGTTTTAAACTCACAATATAAAGTATTTATGCAGAAAAAAAACATGCTGGGACTTTTAATCACTTTTAAAATCTTCATTTTAGCGTAAATTAGTAAATATGATCAATTCAATATTTTGTCATATATTTGCCTGAGTATCCCTTTAAATTGTATATCAAGTAAATATTTTTTCATATGCAGGGTCAATAAGGGGTGTCAATGTTGGCACTTATATAGTTTAGTTAAATTTAGGCAGTCGAATTCAACTTTGTATTTCAGAAATGACATGAATAATGAATAACTTTAACGAGAGCTTTAAAAAGCAAATGAAAGAAAAAACACATAAACAAGAAAGAGGTCGTTTCAAGTTAAAAAATTCAAACAACCAAAAACTGTCGTTCAAAATGATCACTTTTTATGCTGTTTCATTTATTTTATGTTTTGTGGGTAAAAGACTTTATACACCTTTAGTGTTGAAATAAGATGCTGCTTTCCCTTGCTGCTACGAGATTTCACATTTGAAGAATGAAAAGTACAATCGTTTTAAGTACATTAAGTAAAACATTTTCCGTGGATATTCTTTACGTGAATGTTATGTTGGAGTGTTAGACAAACTTTCGGTTGTCCTCAAAGCAAGCACATGTTGAGCGCAACAAAATAATTCTGACGTTAGTCCATCTAAAAATCTTATTGAAAATTGCTCTAATAACTTCGTTACGAACTTTTATCATTTTAATGAATAACATTTTTTTTCTCAATATTTTTAGGTAATTACGGTCATCTCTGTTATCACGCTTATGCTGATTGTCGATGTATCAGAACGTCATCTTACAATTATAGGAAAGCAATGTGAACGCCATGAAAACAATTCTAATCAACTCTGTGGAAATTGTGTCTGGAGCAGACATTTTAAAACACGGACAGTATTATATGATGGTGGTCGAGAGCTACAAATAGAAAATCTTGCAAATATTACAGTGCTCAGTGAAAATCAATGCAAATATAAAAAATTTCTTGTATATAAATGTGACTCTTCTATGTTGTGTGGCGGTTTGGCGGATCGACAGAAAGGCATAATTTCAACATTTCTTTTGGCTCTTTTAACAAACCGTAAGTTCATTATTGACATGACAAGCCCCTGTGCGTTGGAAGAGTTTTTAGTGCCAAACGTTTACAATTGGAATGTGTGCAAAACATTTTTAAAAACTATACCAAACGAAGAGATAAGCAAACTCAATTATGTTCAAAACTACAAATTCCTTAATGGAGTAAATAAGTTTGACTTTGATAGCAATTGGACTAAAGATGCAATTATTTTAAGATTGAACGGATATGCAATTAATGAAATAAGACAACATATAGACGCAAAGACAAGATTGGAATGGCTCCTGAATTTAACTAACGAGGTAGTTATACATATAGTACTTAATACATTATTTAAACCAGGTAAAAGATTGTTAAATGATGCCATTAATCTTTATGATAATCATATTAAAGGAAGATCTTTAGTCTGCTCACATATCAGGAAAGGTAAAAACCCTACAATTCCTACAGATAATATACTTCGTTTTGGACCACCAAATGAAACCGTGGTATTTGACTTTTTAAAAACACTTGACAAGAAAGAAACCAATGCTATTTATATTGCCGCTGATTCAGAAGAAGTGAAAAAAAGTGCTAAAAGCAACCTCGCGGCATACATAAACATCAAACGGACAATCGTTCATATAGACAGACTAGGGGAATTTAAAAAACTAAAGACGGAAGCATGTGATGGATTTTATACAGCAATTTTTGAGCAGTTTATTCTCTCATTATGTGATAAGATGGTCTTGACACGGAGTGGCTTTGGCACAATAGCGGCTTATATGAGAGGAGTGTCTGAAGGTTTGTTCCTGTATCATCCAAAACTGAAACAGATTGTTGAGACTAACCTAACAAACATACAAACGGTTTTTAAATTTCTTTGATGTCATCTCGTTATCTTTCAACTGATATTCTTTCTAAGTCATGTTAAATGGAAAACTTTTTAGGGCGGTAGGAAAGCTGTTAAAACAGTGTTGTGCCAGCTGAAAAAGCATTCCATTTCTATTGATAAATAATACGATATCAAAAAGCCCTGTAAAAAATACATGAATGTTTTTAATTAGATGATATAACTAACGATTTGTTGTCATGAAAGCAAAAAATGTAATGTGTACATTGTAATTAACATACATATATAGCTGCATGATAGTACGAACACGCTAAAGGTTTGCGTACAATGTTCATGTAATTTATTTCATGCGTTATAAAATGTGACTTATGGACTTTCAGCTAGTATATATCATTATTTGATCCAAGAAAGAATCAATTTAAATATATGTTTTACTTCAGTCTGCATTGTTTTTATATTCTGAATCATATTGTTTCATATTGTACCGGAAGTAACATGACCTTTGGTGTAAAACTAAAACGCTGTACATTTTGCTTGTTTTCTTTTATTAAATCTGTTTTCTGATGTCAAAATATAGGGGTCATTATATATCATTTAAGTACATCACGTTTCTGATTCTATTGCACTCGTACATAGATTTGACAAAGCGCTAAAGCTTTTGCAGGTGTATATGCGTCAAGTAGATAAAAGAATTCACATAACTTGCAAAGCAATATAGAATTTTGATAAACGAGTTCAAGAAATTGTTTGAAAGCAAGCTTTTTGACAGCCGATGTTTTAACTGGCATGTAGTATAAAGAAAGGGTTATAGGAAATGGAAAATAAGATAAGATTCAGTATTATACTAAACATCCTCATAAAACATGGTAAACACTCGTTTTATTTGTAAACAATACATTATTTTATGCAATAATCAAATGAGCCGCGTCTAGACAAAACCAACATAATGCGTTTGCGACCAGCATGGCTACAGGCCAGCCTGCGCATCCGCACAGTCTGATCAGGATCCATGTTGTTCGTTATCAGTTTCTTTACTTGCTATAGGGTCTGTAAGCGAACAGAATGGATCCTGATCAGACTGCGTGGATACGCAGGCTGGTCTGGATCCATGCTGATCGCAAACCCATTATGTTGGTTTTGTCGTGACGCGACCCAAAAGATGTTCGTAATACTTTCTCTGACATTTCACCACGAAAGTTTTACAAAAAATGTTGCGTTCTTTGAACGCCGTCCTTTCTTGTTGATCTTGTTTTTCATTTTTTTTTATAAATCTTTTTTAACATGGCCTCTTTGGTTGTGGATTTAGCTGTATACTCATGTATCAAAAGTTATTTCCATCTAACAAATATTAATAAAAAATGTATGAAATAAAACGTTTTTATACGAAAAAAATAATTTCAAACACGTTTAAAACTTTAAAAAAAATTAAAAACCGTTTTATTCAAGATATCAAATTAACTCTTAAAGGGTATAAATCTATATCTTATGAAATATTTTAATGAAATTCATCAACAGTATTAATTATATTGGTTCCATTATTATATGGTTGATTCCCGAATAAGTTGTAACATAGAATGTCTCTCATAAAATATACATGAATGATGTACCTAAACAGAATAAAATGTTCCGGAACAAAATATCATTTTGCTTTTAAGTAAGGTTTTATCCGTTTAGTAATAATTGTGCGAATGCACCATTCGCTTTTAAGGCAATAAATTACCATATTTATTTCATACAACTATTTTGGAAGTGTACTTTATTGAAATTGAAACAATAATTTTTGCATCAGATATAAAGCTTTATTCACTTTAATTAAAGCGACACTTTTGCATCATGTCTCAACTTAGAGTAGTCAAAGTAAGAGCAGGTATTCCACTATACACTTTATGTTATGTCATTTTTAACCATATTTGTCGGAAATTGGATGTAATCAAATGAAATGTAGTGTACGGGGCACGAGTTCTATAAGGGCCACGTACATAAATTTTTAAGTAACTTATAAATTGCTTGAATTATCCTCGAAATAGTTATCTTTTAGCGTAGTTCTGGTCATTGTTTGTTACTTAAATAAAAAATAACATTAAAAATCAGCACATTTCTCGTGTACCCACTGTAAACATCCAACAGTCAGGGTGAGAGTATAAGTTTGAGACATCGCGTTCATTGAAAACAAATTAGACACAAACTCAAGCGTTTTACTAAATAACAGTTATTTTTTAGAAAATTGAAATGAAATTTATGATACATTGCAACAAGATAGATAAATTTTGTTAAAAAAGTAATACTTAAAATATTTTTTTCTTATCTATATATGCAAGGGTCAGTAAAGCTTCAGGTACAAAAATTAATCTGAATAAAACATGAGCACTGATAAAAAGAGTAAAACGAAAAGAAAGAAAAACCTAATTTACAACATGTGCTGACTGCGAACAAATCGACGGAAACGAAACATTTTATAGCGGTATTTAATGAGGATTTTATGACATTTTTATTTAGACGTTGACAAAAATAAATAAATCTGAACTATTACAGCAAATAAAGTAAGGGTTAATTTACTTCAAATGTCAAAGTAACTACGTTATATAATCCACCTCACAAATCTTTTAGACTTTATGATAAGTTAAGAGGCGTGCGTGCAATAAACAAAATGTAAAAGCAACATATCTCCATAAATATTCATGCTAATTTTATGATTTTGAAAATGTTTTTAAAAGTAAAATTTTGTAAAGTGAACAAGGGAAATAATTTAAACATTACAAAACGACACATTCAATACACGGAATATATACCAAAAACGAGGTCAGAATAATCAAAAACAGCTGCTAAATATACTGCTAAATCAGTCATTAATCGCACGCAGCATGTGCATTATTACTGAAATATTGAATTATTTCACTTAAATTCCTTAACATGTTAGCACACTGTTCTCAAGTTTGAGTTACTTGAAATATCTTGGCTCACCTGGAGGTTACTCGCGTGCTTCTAAAGAGACCCCAATTACTTTCAAGAAGTACGTACCAAATGTACTAGAACTATGCTTCGTAATCAAGACTAATAAGTTTGTCCGGGGTTTTTGTTGTTTTTGGTTGGACTTTACAAATTCAGTGCATTTATATGTACAGAGATTGTTAAAATTGCTACAAACGTTTATCAAATTAATAAATACATGAAAATGTTCTTCTTGGAATTTCCCGCCTTTCCAGTGTTTATTTATTCTTTCGAATTTAACATTTTTCACACTTGAAACAAATACGTTATAGCTTTATTTCATTTCATAATTTAATGTTGTTTATAGCATACCCGTGTCGAGTTTTGGATTCCATAAAATTGGTATTGCACGGCCGTGCATATATTTTGACATGACGACATTTACGTTATAAAAGATGGCCAAAAGTTAAGGGTTAAATTTTTCAGCTGTTAACAAAGCGTGTCAGGAGCACGAACTTTTCATGTAAAGAAATGCCTGTACTTGTATCAGCATATATAAAAAATAAAGGTCTGCTTGAAGGCACTAAAATTCCTCATAATGTTAAGAATAAGATCTTGGAGGCTATTGCTCTCCAATTGTCAGAGGCGGGCACTGCACAAAGAACAACAAAAGAGCTAGGTGAAAACTAAATGGTTAAACATGTCGCGTATATCAAAGCACACACACAGTGCCTTCAGTGCGTTCATTGAACGCCGCCTTTCCTTGTTGGTCTTGTTTGTCGTGTTTTGAAGCAGGCAGTCTTTCACCAAAACTGAAGGTGGACCACCACTTAATATGTCCAAGGACTTTATCAAAGACATAATAGATCTTTATACAGATTCGGAAAATTCTTGTGGGGTACATGGTAATCTGGAGACTGAAATTAGTTTTGATTACTGTAAGTATACTATTTATTTTTTATAATGGTTTCAATGTGTACCACAATAAATATGAATAGCTAATAACTACTAAAAGCAAACAAGTAAGTTTGAAATTAGGAAACAGCAATTTATTCTGCTACTAAATATAGTAATATGTATACAGATATTTTAAAATTGACCTTTAGCCTCGTTCTGAAGGTTTACTCTCAGCTGTTTCTCTTACAATCTTAAATGTTGTTTTCATAATAATTTATTTAACAATAAAAAATTAAAAATAAAGGTTATGATAACATAGATAATAACATTTATAGCAACAATTCCAGTTCAGCCTTATTTTAAATTCTTGATTTCTCATTATACACATATGCAAACAATATATATGCCACTGCATTTAATCTGAACTGTTTTCTTAATATTTATAGGTGGTAATTGGTAAAAGAAAACAATTCAATAGAAACAGAACTAAAAGGAGACGTCTTAACAGACACTGCATTGTCACCTGAGTACTGGCCTCATGTAGCTCATGTGGTCGACATTCTACCAGTGAAAAAAGAATTTACAATGTTATTGGGGCAAGAAAACAACCATCTGGACGCCCGCTTACAGTACAATAGAACCACATACATCAGAGGCAAGAGAAACGTCAAATGGCATCATGGGTTTAAGTTAAACCAACGTGACTACCTCCCAAAACTTATGGGATTGGTTGTCAAATATGAAAATTTATAAACATCTTGAAAAAAGTGACCCCATGCAAGCATTAAAACAGCAAAATCAAATTTGCTTAACGACGTTTTCTGTAATATTCATGTAGACATATAGGCACATTAAACTGGTCATTGAAAATAAGACTTTATTGTAATAATTATATTAAACATTGTTACAAACTTCTATTACTTACATTGTTGAGCTTTAAGGATCGGAAATAGAACGTCTCTGATTGAATGAATGGGGCGACTTTTAACGGCCTCAACATGGCACAAACAACGCTGATGTGGCGATAAAAAAGAGAAAATACGAATCCCTAAAGAAAGCCCAACACAACAAAATTGAAAATGTTGCAGGCTCGGTTTGATTGAGCCTGTACATGGACGGTACTGTCAAGTGCAAACTACAGTCCATGCCCCAAAGCACTGACTTAAGCAGAATTCAACATTTAACATACACTGGAATAATTTTAAAACACTCGCAGGTGTGTTCGTAAGGCGGTTATCATGGAACCTTCAATGTGACAGGTAAGTGTCATTCCATGAAAAGCCAATTTCTTCCAAATTTCACTGGAATGTTCTTTTGGTAGTGAACTTTAAAAAATTACTCTTTCCAAACAGAACTCTGGTTGCTATGGCAACCGAAAGAAAAAACTTAAAATATCTTCTTTTAGAAAACCAAAATAAGTAGAGCTTAATTATTTAGCATGAAACATTATCTAGTCAGTGTCTCCCAAGTTTGTTCAAATAAATGCCCTTAAGTCAAAATTGGCCCCGCCCCGGGGGTCATTTATTTTCCTTATTTGTATATAACTTAAAATCTTAGTTTAAAAACCCCAAAGAACTAACAGGAGATTAATTGTCTTTGATGGCAAATAAAACTACAGGGCCATGACGTACCTGGGTCGCTCACTTGAGATACATTGCTACAGAAAGTCACAAGTTTTATATTTCCATGTTAAAGTCAGAAAAGACGACATGCCAAGTATCTAAGCTTTGGGTATTGTAGTTTCTTATCAGAAGATTTTTTAAGTCCATTTTATCTCCTGACCCACATAATATTAGACTGGAATCTTTTATAGAGAACCACAGTGTAGTTTGGTCAAAATCCATCCAGTGGTTAAGGTAGAGATGTTGTTTAATGAAATTGTGTGCAACGACCGACAAACTGACATCACAAAATATTATCTCTGAGCACTTTATGTGAGCTAAAAATGGTTTTCATGATTATCTGACCCTTAAAAATGCATTTCAATTCGATAATAAACAAGGTCTCCCAGTATAATAAATAATTTTTGAGAAATAAACCTTTAACAAACAGGTTAACAAAGAAATACAAAGTCAATAACAGAGACATTACTGAGCAAAAATTAATTTTAATGTTTTTTTTTTCCAACATGACAATTTACATACTCTATGACTTTTCAAAGACAATTTAATATTTTCAAGTTTTGTAACTCCACTTCCCTAAAATAGACAAGAACCTGTTGAACCGGATGATGCTCCCCGGATAGGTTTTGGACACAGAAAAGTATTCCTCTTGTAGTTTCAGAGTTATGACTGGATAAATTTCAAAGTGCAATAATTCCAAACTTAGGCAAGGCAGAGTTACTGTTCTTTGCACTGCTCATCTACCCAATGATATCTATCTACCTACAGAGTGTCTGTTTATATCTCTTGTAGTGTCAGAGATATGTCCCGGACAAAGTTCAAAATGTAACAAGGACAAAGGGCAATGACTCCAAAATCAGGCAAGCTAGAGTGACGGTTCTTTTGCACTGCACTTTTACCTAATAA